AGAGTCCAGCATTTTTAACGCACGGCAAAGCGAAAATTATGCACACTGATTCAATAACGTGGGCTCGAAAAATTAACAACGGCAACAAAATGTGATAATTTATATTGCGAGTACGTGGCATTTCGTAAGAAGAGTTGCATCAACCTGTCAGTCTACTTGGAATAACCTGATTTTGGAAAAAATATCAGCAATCAGCTACCGACATTAAATCAGCAAACGCTCCGGCGAGTCATCGTTCAGATTATAGAAGGAAGAAGTGGCAGTGTATTAAATAATTTTAACAACAAAAGTTGCAATAGTAGTTGACTAACAAGAAGTTTCTAAATTATTCAGGGCCAAGCAATGTTAGTGAGCAAATAAATTCTGGTAATTTTACTCCTCAACTGGTCAATTACCTTTGAATAATAAGATGTGGTTAACACCAAAAAAGATCTAAAATTCTACACAATGCGCTAACGAAAACATGTACCGCTAACTTGGAAGACGTAATGAAAACAAAATCTATTTTAACAAAAATGCATTACAAAAAAAAACTAAATTTGTAATAATACATGTAATTTACAATAGCATGAACAGGTCTTGTCTTTTTTTTTCTTTGGTTTGGTTTATAAATGCTAGTGGTTTATTACAATAATAAAAGTTCAATATTTCAAAAATAACAAAGCGACTACGAAAGTCAAAAAGCTAGGCTAACAATTAATTAGCCATTTCTTAATACAGTTGCATCAAAAACAATTAATTTTATTGTACAATTACATACTTCGTAAATAATTACCTCAAACATATTTCATCGGAATGCACTCACATCCAGTTAACAAACTTGTGCAAAAGGCCTTAAAAATTTTGAAATAATGACAAAAAGTCGCTAAATCCTAAACCCTTTAAATAACTCATAAAAAAGTAGAAATCAGGATTTTGTGAAGATTGTCTTTCTGTTTTCAAATGTGCCGTCAATAAACCGCACAGGATTATGGTAATGATAATATTAGTCATGGCCTTCTCTCCGAAGGCTTGCCTGAAAGGAACGAAGATTCTATGAATCAGACGTGGATGAACACATTTTAGGAGGCAACAGTTGAAATCATCGTTATTACAACTCTGAGCAGTTTGTTGCAGGATTCCAATAAACACTTCTGGAAACAAAAAATCAATATTCATTCTAAGTCCTGGTCTCTGCTATAATATTTGTACTTTTTTAGTTTCATTTCCTACTCATTCTGTCTTCTACGTTTTGTACAAAATATCATTTACTCGAGAAAACGTAAAATTTTAACGTCAAAAAATAATTTCGAAATCCCATTAGGTAGTGTAGTCCTAGCCCTAGCAAACAGAAGTGACAGACCTAACCTTTAAGACCGCAATAGGATTAACAATGTCAAATAATGTTCATTACCCTTCTATTGTTTTCTTTTCTACTTGATCTGGCCCTAATTTCAATGCCGCTTGGCTTGACTCATCTTCATCTTATTCCTGTGCAGATGTTTATCCATAAATAAATAGAAGGGTAATAAACTTTCGTAGTAATGCTATTTCGGTCTTAAAAGTTAGGTCTGCCACTTCTATTTGCTAGAACTATACTTTAGAAAGTAACTGCAAAAGGTATAGCACAACAAAATTAAAAGTAACCCACACGGCTTCAAACGGCATTGAAAGATGGATCAGGTAGAAAGAACCTTTACCAGCATAAATAACTGGTCTAAATTCTCGAGCAATAAATATTCTTTACCAGAAGTTAATATAGTCTCGATCATTTGTTTCGATGTACTACACCCCAAATATTCTTGTGTTAAAAGTGTGGTTAGCATTTTTGGTAGAAAGGAGCCGATGAAGTGCATACAGTAAAATTCACTAGCATATATAATTCGTTTCATAGAAAAAAATAAGAAGTCAACCAACTTTTTCTACACGAAAACATGTCATTTTCTGTTAGTAATTTTGGAGCTTATTGCTTAACGTCCACAATTACATCTATTTTGTGATAATTATTAAAAAAATCGACTGTATCAAAATTAATAATTACTTTAAGAAAAAAAAAATCACTTATTTTATATCGTATTTATTTGAATGAAGCTGACGTTTGTAAACGGTATTTCTAATAATGCTAGTAGATTAAGTAAAAAAAAGTTGCGTATTTTTATGTTCTTCAGTAAACTCGTAAGGAAATACAATGTCTAAACTTTTAGTACCTGTTTTCATTTTTCTTTCAATATTTTACCATTAGTTATACTGCATGGCAACAACTTGTATCTCATATAAACTGAGTGCTATATTAAACTGCTTCTTTTCTGCTTCAATTTTTTATTGGAAAAACGATAGTGATGTTTTTTTACTAGGTATAAAAGATTATTTCTGAAATCCTTTATCAAACAATCGAAATATTTAAAACTTAAAAACAACCATCAGTCTGCACAAAATTGGTTATGTTAGTCCCCAACAGCACAACTCAAAGAGAATTAAAAATAAAAATGTATTTACTATGTGGTCCATTAAAAAAAAATTGGACGAAATAAAGCATAAAGTTTTGAAAATTATCAAATATGTGATAAAAAAAGTCTCGTAAACTAACACTTTCAAGAAACTCGGTGTCTAATTCTGTTTGAATGAAACCTATACAGAATCTAACGTTACTTGCCGTAAAAATATCGATACCTACATAATATTCAATTTCAGAAAATTTTTGAAATGTAATTCGTCACTGCAGTTTCATCACTGACATGATCAAATAATACTTATATCTCTGATAAAATAAATGAATTTCTTCACTAGCAATATCTAAAAATAAATAGAAAATATAATTTTTATTTGAAAGGGAGACATTGACAACTGAATTTGCACTTAGCATTATAAAACAAATATGTATGTATTTCAAAATTCAGATTTTGCTTTAAAAAAGTAGTAACTAGGGAATGCAATTAATGATCGTCAACAACTCAAAAAACGACGTCCATTATAATTTATACTTGCGTAACCGCTGTAACAGTCAAATGACAATGAGTCACCTATCGTTACTTTTATTTATCGAAACAACCAACGACATAGTGTAATAAACCATTTAAAGTAAATAAAGGTAAAAATAAATTTTTCATTTTTTAATCACTAAAATGTGTGAAACTGATAGATGTTTTGATGAAATTTTCATATAACCTTTGTTTTTTTTTTTTTTTGCAGGTACATAATTGAATTGGGAAAAAGTTAATTCACTGAAAACTGTATTTTTCCAATTTCAGTACTATTTCCAGTACTTTTAAATATTAGTAATACATAACTAGAAATTAAATATTTACCATAAAAAAAACTTGTGGTGAATAATTCTATGACGGCAGATATTTAAATTGCAATTTTTTCAGTAAATTCAACGAAATTGTTTGCATATTTTTTCACACACTTGAAAAAAGTATTTTGCATATTTTATGCACGTGACACAAGGCTAGCATCACATCAGCATTTTAAATGACGTTGGATTAGATTTCTAATGTCATAAAAAAAAATCGAAGCAGTCTTGTATCACAAACGCGACAGTAAAAAAATGGTATAACCGTATGTATAGATACATACACAATTCTTGTATCCCAAATATATGTATGTTAAATTACAGTTTTAAAAATATTTAATCAGTTCCATATTTTTTAACGAGCCTGTATATGAATTATATATACTTTTGAATTGAATCACCTATGTTGTCTATTTATGTTCTGGTAGCTCAGTTTAAACAACAAACTTGGTAAAGACATATAAAAAGCTGTCTAAAAACGGTAAAATATGTGGTTTTGCATCGGATTTAAGGTAAATGACATTAGTTTGAAAGTCTTTTAAAATAACACCATTTTCATAAGTAGACCGACTAAGGAAAAAAAATTAAAACACCGACAGTAACCGAATTAAATACTGGAAACGGGTACATTACAAGAACTAACACGTTTTACGAATTATAGAAATGAAATATGTACACTCGGTTTTACGAAGGTGTAAAATTTATTTGTAGGGTGGGACTTACCTACTGATTCCAAAATGAATTTGACCTTAAACACAGAAAAAATTGGGGGCTTACATGTAAATGAATTACACTTGCAGTGTAAATACTGTTAATGAAGCCTGTTTCGTACTTCGACCATAAATATTTTTGATTATTTATCCAGATTTAAGTGTAGAAGTTCCTTACTTGTTCAAAATTAATTCAGTGTTATAATACTGCACCGTACGGTTACATCTACGGGAAGCTTTTTTTTCTTTACATTGGGGCGTATTATTTTCAATAAAAAATTTAATTTTGCGGATCTCTGAAGTTTTTTCATTTTTATCAATAAATTTAATTTATACATGTAAAATTTATAAAACCAATTCGAATGTATTACAGATTAGCGACCAATTAACTGCACATTTGGTGACCAAAACATAAAAAAAGCTTAATCAATTTTTTTTACGATCTCGAGTAAGGGCTCGTAACCTGTAATAAATTTCCACCTATTCATGTTTATATTTACATTGTGTCCTTATAAGCAATTATTTGATATTCTTGGGGCCTCCGGATATACATATGACCGCAACAAACGTAGAAAAAAGAACATGGGAAATACTAAGGAAGTTTGGCAAATGACCTTCATGGCAACATTTTGCGGCAAACTTTACGATTCTCTTCTCTGTAACTGTCGTTGTATTTTTGAAGCGTATTTGGATCGCGTGAAGACATTTACGAGCGACTTTTACGGACTCAACAAGGGTTGCATTACGCATTGGTGACCCCTGCGAAATGAAGGGTGGCCCCAACACCCGACCCCATTGTACGCCTGGCGATTACTAGCTCATGTAAAAACGTTTGATCGACTTTTCTGTGTAAATAGATGAGAATAAACTCGTGTTAAAGAGTCCTAAAAGGCAGCCTGCGCAAATAATTCGTGAAGAAGGGTGTTGTCTGGCAGCGTGGTCAAGTAGGCAATGCGTAAAAAAATGAAAAAGAAAAGGCCCCTAGCCTCCTACGAAAACGAATCCAAAATGTTATTTACCGTTTGAAATGTTCTCGTATGCGGTCTTCTCGTATGTTATCGGGCAAATTTCCTACCCACAAATGTCTAGTCTCTCTGACCATTTTGCCCTAAACACCACATTGAGGAATTTTTGTTTTTTGGCGCACAGACACTATTTCACAAAAAAACAACACAGCCGTTTCAACTTCATGTTGTCGCACTGGAACGGTAGGAGGAAACTTCACACTGCACCACTTCACATCATTGCGACACAAGCACTAGCTTTTAAAATGCACTATTTTATTATTTCTTCCATTTGTTTCACTGATTTTTTACACTTTAACACTGTGCGAGCGAGTTCACCTCATATTTTCGCTCTACACAACATACTGGGCTCGAGACCGCGGGCTCGAATGCTGACTTGCTCCGCCTCTACGTTCGAACGAGTTCCGACCTACGTTCCACGGAACAGCGAAACGCCATGCCCCAGACGAAGACGACCGGCGACGTATGTCTCGAACTAACCAGACGATTTCGTGTAAAATTGTACTGCTTTCCTTTATGTTTCATCTCTGTTTACTGGACTTTTCGGTCGCCTGTAACGATGTACTATCCGAACCGTAAAAATCGACGCATTTTTACGTGAACTTTGCAACAAATTTCACGAAATTTGCTGTTTTTGCGCGAAAAATCCGATCAGCGTTACTAGGCGCATCCTCCAAAACTGCCTAAATCCTCCTTGTTGAAACGTTTGCCGCATGCTGTGGAAAATCCTGAAAAACACATAAATCCCTTTTTCTTAATTACAGGCATGCAGTGGCGCTTCGATGCATCCAAACACATCCTATAAGATCCTATTTGTAGGGTTTGCGGTCCAAAAAATAAACCATAAACGCAAATGCCTAAAATAACACGCCGACTTGGCATCGCTGGGAACCTTTTTAGAACGCGTAGTAGGCTGTTTTAATTGAAGCTTGGCCGAGTCGACTTTCCAAAGGGTGGGACGGTACGTCGGCCCGACAACGGTACACACCAAATCCAGTGCATTTTCATTTTATACCATTCTTTGGATGGTTCCATCCATTTCCATTGTATAAACGCTACGTATATAATACACGAGTCGACTTGAGCGGTACAAGTGCACCATTCTTGGCGGCCATTGTTTGACGCGTTTCAATTGTTTTCGGGTGTAAAAATCTCGCGCAATATTCACGAATGCCCATTATGTCGAGGAGAAAAAGCGTTAATGGTTTTTAGGAGTTTTCCGGGAGCTACTTTTTTCTTATCGGCCAGAACACGGACGCGTAATTAAACGGAACAAAGCACAATGGAGGCTGTGAAGCACGTCAGAAACAGTGGATGCAGAAAAAAGAAATACGATACGTTCGCTTATTTTAATGGAATATGTTTTGTAACGTTGTTGGACATATAAATTGATGATGGATAGAATTCAACTATTTGCATTTTGTGTAGTTTTACAAAAACATGAGGTTACTCTGCAGAAAATGGCCGCCATTGCTACTCGTTCCTTGCCATACACCACCGTGAGGCGCTTAGTTCGACTGGATGAGTTGGGCACGTTCTCGCTCGAGGCTGGTTTCAACAAAACGAAAAAATCAATAACAGTGATAACTTACGCTGGCATCTATTAAGCACGATGTCGGGTTACTACAGTTTTCTTTTGTAGTTGGACGTAGATTCTATTTATAGGAAAAATGTATTGAATTTGTTCCAATCTCGTTTAAATTGTGTAACTTGCCCCATCTGTTGGCTGACTTACAAAACGAAATAATGTATATAGTAGTTTACTACGTGCCACAGGAAGATAGTTTTAATTTGAATTTAAACTCTATCAACTATTCACACTACAGAACTCCAACAATAAACAAACAAATTAACTAATTACACTTGAATGCATTAATGAAACTTAAATAAGTTCTAATGATGGAGTTCCACGCAAATTCTGAAAACAACTAGCTTTGTTTAAATCAAAAGAAATTGGCTACAATGTCAAAATCTTTATTAGGAGTGCAACAAAATTACAGCGAAGATTTAAAATTAGTCACGTTGGTTCGTTTTATTGTCGGAGATTATCTATTATATATATAACTGCTGACAAACAACAGACAAATGGAAATAGGAAACCTGAAAAAAAAGATATCAAGAAGACAGACATCATACATTGGCCACACGTATTTATTTTTAGACCTACCCTTGACCCGGAAATGATCGCCGTTCAAGCAAGACTTTCATCATTACGGATATTAATAAGACCAAATAATGATATGCATTAATAATTAGATTAATAAAATAATTTGAGATCTGTACGATTTTGTATTGATATATGAATAAGTTGTATGTTGTGTTTGATTGTTAAATAAGAGCAGCGGAATGCGAGATAAATATTTGGTGTTTATTATCGGAAGGATACAGATCAACTCCCCGTTTCAAGGCCGGTGGTGGCCCGACCAAGCCCGTGAAGGCGGAGGGGGTAAAAACAGGCACCCCCTGGTCATTGGCTCTCACATAACCCCCCACCTTGAAACAATAGAAGTGTTTCGAAATACAGAATATATGCATATAATATTTTACACAGATCATACAGCACAGACTACCCCCTCCAGACTGCCAAGTCCCGTGTAAAAATTTAAACTAGTAGAAGGTAACAAATATAGAGGGCCAGACGAAAGATAGTAGGGGAAACTGTGGGAAATTTGAAATTTTGTTGAGTAGGCGCCTTTGGCGGGAGATTCAAAGTCATTCTCAAAATATTGTAAAAACATATTTTGTATATCATAACTTCGTAATTAAATTATTTTACTAACGTATAATGCAATATTATTATACGTTAATAAAATAATTTATTAAGAAGTTATGATGATACAAAATATGTTTTTACTACTTAAAAAAAAGTAATAAAAACACACGTAATTTTTGTCATTAGTAAATTTAATAGCAGACATATAATGGTATCTAACAGCAGTGGTATTGTTGATATAATTATTATACAATAGCTTAACAATATGATTAAAATGAGATGACATACCAATTATTATAAATAAGGAATCTTCTAATTCTCTTGCTTTATATTAAATAAAAATTATTGAAACTGCGAGGATATCACAATAATTTTTATTTAATAATAAAACAGAAACTAGAAATCAAAATCTTTATTTAAGTATGGATCTCAATTTCTTTTCGCGTGGAGTACACCTTTTCCACGAGAAATTGAGATCACATTTCTTAAACAAAGATCTACTAGTCGATGGTGCTTTGGACTCGTTAGTAGACAAAATCGTCGCATTTTGACGAAAATTAATAGAAGAACAAGAAGAAGTAGGCGTTTCATGCAAAGAAGTGAGCATAGAAGTATCATACATCAGAGAAGCACTTCCTTTTGATGTCGATGGAACAGGATGAGTGGAGGGAACTTTAATTGGTGTTGAAAAATGTATGTCTTCATCTGTAACCTGAAACAAAGATCAATTAATAATTATTGCATACAAAGACATTATAAGTTTGTACCATTAACGGTTCGACCGGAAGAACTGGGGGTGTCACAGTTGGTGGCTGCAGCACATTCTCTTCAATGATCTAAAAAACATGAATATTTAATACAAAAAACAAAACGAAGCAAATTTCACACAATAGTTATTTTCTTTTCTTTAATAATTAGTACCTCAGTCTCGGAAGTTTGGATGTATTGCGAAGGTACTGCATTTCGATTTAAAGTTGCTGACCAATTGTTAGCGTAAAAATTTGCGGAAAAGTATTCACTGCAAATTCTCCAGTGTGCTTTCACTTTTTTTCTATATTCTCGATTTTTAGTGCTTCTCCCCATTCACGTAATCTAAAAATTAAAATGAATTTGCTTTAAATTTTTCTTTTTTTTTTCTTACTTATAATTTTTAAATTAAATATACTTCAATGTTTGTAAACTCACCTAGCAAGCGATCGAGGAAAACAATGCAGTGCCTTCGCATTTTCTGTGTTGTTGCCACAAATAATACAATATCTGCAACAATAATACATTATTTGTTTTATTTAAATTTGCAATAAAAAGCTAAAATTTTTTACCTTCTCGTCATGGCGTTCCTTCAAATAATTTTCGGTAGGTATTTACTTCTTGTTGGTGTTCGACACGTATTCGCACTCACACACTTAAATTTTTCAAATTCAAAATCGCGCAAATTTATTACCGTTATTGCTCATGTGCCGCAGCGCGTCACACCTGTGCGTGCGTCACACATACGTCAGAACACCGTTAGAAGTAGGGGTATCTGTAATGGCGGATGGCGTCCGGCAGTTGTTTTCTTTCAATTTTCAAATGTGTTACAAGTTGACAGAAATTTTGCGACTGCAGAGCCATCTGCCTTGAGATTTAGTTGTAGCATAAGGATAGGTTTATGTACGCCCAATATGATAACACGAGAGAGATATAGAAACGAAGACAGACTTATGGGTCTATAAGTGTATTGAAGTGGTATAGATAAATCGGCTCAAATTTTCCCACTCAACTTGGCAGGCCCATAAACAAAAGTGCAAAGAAAGCAAGCAAATTATAGACACAAGTAGAAATGAATAGGAATGTTCAGATTTCTGGAATATAGACCATGGATTGATTAATATTAATCAATTGGCAACGCACACACTTTCGTAATTGCACGTTTAACTACACCACCTTTATGCCGCACTGACACTACACGCACCAGGCCGTCGTTTCCAGGATGTAATTGAGTAATACGCCCCAGCGGCCACTGTAACGGCGGTAGATTGTCGTCCTTTAGTACCACCAATGTACCAACTTCCGGAACTTTGGCGGATGTGTGCTGCCACTTGGCCCTGCTCTGCATCGTAGTCAAATACTCCTTTGACCAACGTCTCCAGAAATGCTGGCGGCAGGCCTCAATCAGCTGCCAGCGAGACAGCCTATTGGACGAAATGGTGGTGTGATCCTTTTCTACGGGGGCGGTTAGTGGATGCCCGATTAAAAAATGGCCAGGCGTAAGGGCCGAGAGATCATTCGGATCGTTCGATAATGGCGTCAAGGGGCGTGAGTTTAGTACCGCTTCAATTCTGACCAACAGCGTGTACATCTCCTCATACGTAAGGTGATTTTCGCCGATTACGCGCTTAATGTGATTTTTCACTGATTTAATACCAGCCTCCCAGATACCACCAAAGTTTGGGGCTCGAGGAGGAATAAATTTCCACATGATATTTTCGTTTGCCAGTTTATTTTTAAAAATCTCGCTTTTAAATAATTGTTGAAGCTCTTTTCTCGCGCCTACAAAGTTAGTGGCATTGTCACTAAGAACGAAAGAGATATTTCCGCGGCGCGAAATTAATCGTTTCAGGGCACTAAGAAATGAGTCGGATGTCAGGTCGCCTACCAGTTCGAAATGTACTGCCTTTGTACTTAAACAAATAAAAAGGCAAATATAGGACTTAGTGGTTCTTATCCCTTTTCCGCGGCCTTCTTTAATTAATAAAGGACCACCGAAATCAACCCCTACCTTGGAAAAGGGACGTGAGGGCATTATCCGCTCTTCGGGAAGATTTCCCATAATTTGACTGTAAGGTTTTGGATTGGTCCTATAACATTTTAAGCATTTACCAATTACCTTGCGAACTTGACGCCTGCCAGAAATCGGCCAATATTTTAAGCGCATTTGCGCAAGAGTACCTAATTGCCCCGCATGTAGTAGGCTTTGGTGTATATCTTGTATTATTAATTCGGTTATGTAATGTTTGGGCAACAAGATGGGAAATTTTTTATCAATTGGTAAAGTTTTGACATTGCTTAGTCTACCCCCCACCCTGAGCAAATCATTAGAATCTAGAAACGGATTAAGTTGTAAAATACTACTGTTACCAAGTTTTTTACTGTGAGTCAACTGATGAATTTCGGAGGAGAATGCCTCCTTTTGAACTAATCGGATTATCGTAATTTCCGAATGTTTCAATTCTTGCGTTGTTAAACTGCCCCTGATTTCCGGTTGTTTTTTGACTCTATTCCGTAGGTTTTTCATAACGCGCAGCCAACACGCAATTGCAACTTTTAATTTGCCAAAGGTTGAGTATAGGTCAAAGATAGCATTTTTAAAAGAATTGGTTTGTAGATGCACTGCAGTTGAAACAAAGCGTTTTTCTAACAGTAAACCTTCGCCAGAGGAGTCGCACTTGTCTACATTAGAGGCATTAACAATCGGAATTTCCATTTTATGCAGCCAAGCTGGACCATTAAACCACAGTGTATTTGTCGATAATTCCCTAGGAGAGGCACCACGAGTTATTATGTCGGCCGGGTTCTCGCTGCTTTTCACATGGTTCCAGTGACAATTATTAGTTAACTGCTGTATTTCAGAAACGCGATTAGCGACAAAGGTTTTCCAATTACCTGGATCAGCTGCTAACCACGATAAAACGATCTGAGAATCCGTCCAACAGAAACACTGCTCAGGTAAAATGTTAATCGTTTTAGTGACCTTTACAAGCAATTGGGCTAACAAAAGCGCACCACATAATTCAAGTCTGGGCAAAGAGATGGTTTTTAATGGCGCCACGCGAGATTTGGCGCATAACAAATTGACGTGTATATTTAATTCGGAATCAATGGACCTAACAAAGATTGCTGCACCGTAAGCCTGTTCAGAACTATCGCAGAATCCATGGATTTCTATTTTGATAGCATCACGACAAATTACTGTTCTAGGAAACTGAAGTTTATTTAGATAAGGCAAGCCGCGTAAGAAGGAAGTCCATGCTTTTTTAAGATTATCGGGAATTTCGTCATCCCAGTTAATTTTCAACGACCACAACCGTTGCATTATTATTTTTGCCATTGTTATCACAGGATTAACTAAACCGAGGGGGTCGAATAATTGAGCAATGGCGCTAAGTATAGTACGTTTGGTGGGCTTGACGTTAACAAAGTTAAAATGTGTGTATGAAAGATTATCAGATTCGTTGTCCCAGCGAATACCCAGAGTTTTCTTTTCAAGCTGTTTGTCCGTTATTATGCAATCATTGGAAGTAAGCTCATCTTTTAACACATCGGCACAATTAGATGACCACTTACTTAGAGAAAATCCCCCCTTCCCGAGAACTGTCTTTAATTCGTCCTTAATCCGCGCTAATTCGGGTATGGTATTTGCGCCAAACAATGTGTCGTCCACATAAAAACACTTCATGATGACGTCGTGTGCTAATGGATAATTATCCTTTAGATCTGCGCCCAATTGTTGGACACATTTAATGGCTTGGTAAGAAGAGGAAGTCAGGCCGTAAGTGATGGTTTTAAGTTGGTATGTATTTACGGGTAAATCGGGAGATTCTCGCCATAAGATTTGTTGAAATCCACGGTCATCAGGATGCACCCAAATGCACCTGTACATCTTGGATATGTCCGCAGTTATTACGAATTGAGGCAGTCTAAATTGAATAACGATCGTAAGAAGATCAGGCTGCAAAACGGGTCCTGCTAATAAATTGTCGTTTAAACTAAGATTGTTTGAGCTTTTTGCCGATCCGTCAAAAACAACGCGTAGTCTGGTTGAAGAACTATTTTCATTTATGACCCCACTATGGGGCAGGTAATAAGAATGTTTCGAAACGTCGGCAGGTACTGGCTCCATGTGACCTAATTCCAAGTACTCGCGCATAAAGGCCAAATAACCCGCTCTTAATTTATGGTCTCGGGAGAGTTTCCGTTCAAGAGACAACAACCGTTTCATGGCTACATCACGGGAATTTCCCAATTTTGGAATTTGCCCGACAAACGGAAGTCGTACAACAAAGCGACCGTCTTTAGATCGGCTGGTAGTGTCATAAAAGTGGGCTTCGCAAAGGTCTTTGGAAGAATGTTTATTGATGGAAGGGACAATTACCTCGGGTTCAACGTTCTCTATTTCCCAAAACCTGGTAACAGCTGATTCCAAACTTATTTTGTAGCAGTGCAAGGGTTTATTATTAAAACTCGGAATTTTACCTGAGATAATCCATCCCAAGACACTATTTTGTAGAACAGGCTGATTTTTACCGAGTTTTATATTTCCGGAAGTAAGCAGGTTTAAAAATAATTCGGCCCCAATTAATATATCCACGGGAGATGAAACATTAAAAGTCGGATCCGCTAATTCTAAATTATTGGGTAAATGGATAGTATTTATATCGAACGTATAAGAAGGCAAGTTTTCGGTAATTTTGGGAATAACCAAACATTTAATATTGTAAATAAAATCAGTTGATCTACTTCTGATCTCAACTTCAGCAGACTTAGTCAATCTTGATTGGCTATTTATTCCTAGGATCGACACATTTGAATTTTGAAATTTCAAATTTAACTGTTTACATAAATTTTCCGTTATGAAGTGAGATTGACTCCCAATGTCTAATAATGCGCGACATTCTTTTATTTTACCTGTGGGACCCTTAACCAATATTACTGCTGTTGATAAAAGTATGTTGTTTGAGACCGCTAAATTACAATGAGATGTCCCCTCTCCAGGATCCGTGATATCATTAACTAATTGATCAGTAATCGCATTGGAACTAGCCTTTACATCAATATGTAAAAGAGTGTGGTGTTTTTTATTGCACTGTTTGCAGCCAAATATAGTGCAATCTTTCGTAAAATGGTTTTGTCTAAAACAATTACTGCAACGATTCAATGATTTTATGTGTTGCAGTCTTTCCTGGGGGGTTAACTTTAGGAAATCAGCACAATTAAAAATATTATGATTTTTTTCGCATATAAAACATGAAGCTAACTTTTTGTTACTTTGAGCCTTATAATATGAAGTATGGAACACACGTTTTCTAAGCGGCGTATTAATGTTACATTTTTGGGGAGGGAGAGATTTTGTTTCTTTATTAATTTTATGGATGCTTATCGATTCTAAGGTTTTGCATCGCCTTTCTAAAAATGAAATTAAATCTGTATGGGACGGAATGTTATTGGGTTCAAGTGACTCTTCCCATGTGGAACTAGAAAAATGGTCCAATTTTGAAACTACAATGTAAATGATGAGATCGCTCCATTGATCGACAGGGCGATCCAACGCTTTCAGGGTATTTAAATTAATACTTAGTGTATCTAAAAAGTCCCGCAAGGATTTACAGTCCGATTTATTAACAAAAGGCAAACTGAAGATATTTTTTAAATGATTGTTAATGATGAAGCGCTTGTTTTCGTATCTGTCTTTCAATAATTTAACCGCAATTGCATAATTTGTGTTGTCCGCTTTTAGCGAATCCAGAGTTTTCTTGGGTTCATCTTCCAAGCATGATTTTAAATAATGTAATTTTTGAGAGTTGGATAATGACTCATTACTGCCAACTAAACTAGAAAAAGTATCAAAAAATGATGCCCATTCGGTATAATCCCCATTGAACTTAGGTAATTCAATAGTTGGCAATTTTACGTTAAGATTTTGATTTGAATGAGATGTGGTTGATGAACTACTAGATAATTGAGATGAGGCCTTTGTCACCAAATCATCATATACGCCAAGCACCTCAAATATTCGATTCAGTACATCCCTAAACCTATATTCGACCCGTTCATCAGACTCGTTTTCATCTTCTGAAGTTATTATTATAGAATTGGCACCATAGTGCAAACTGATATTTTCCATTTCCGATTTTAATTGTTCAACGTCCTGTAGGCGACGTTTTAATTGTCCAACCTTTGAATGATTAGTTTCGTCATCAACGAAAATCTCATGGGTGTTTAATTTATCAAGAAGAATTATGAATTTATTGATTGTTTCGTCCTGGCTTTTCGTCATCTTACGTACAAGAAATGCACAACGATATTATAAGAATTGGAGCTTACCTTGATGTCCCCAGAATTGTAGACGACGAATCACAGAAAAATCTGTGTATGACGGTTGACCAATATTTCCGATTTGAATAACTTTATGTGGAAATA